TAATTTGTAACCAATTGACAGGTTGATTGAGGAGTCACAGCCAACTTCTTTTCTATATCTTACCTCTGTTCTCTTGATAAGAGCTGTCTGAAGTTGGTGGAATATCTCAGAATCACCTTTAGTTTTGCTTAAATACACTACTCAATATAATTGATCTATGAAATCTTTCCTTCCTTCCTTCCTTCATTTTTTTGTATTGTTTTTGTTTTCCAAGACAGGGTTTCTCCATGCAGTTCTAACTGTCCTGGAACTCACTCTGTAGACCAGGCTGGCCTCGAACTCAGAAATCCACCTGCCTCTGCCTCTCAAGCGTAGCACTATTAATAAAGAACCAGTAGCTGGCTGTTTTGCTTTTCTGACCTTCAGGTTGACCCTAATATCTGGATTTGGATTTTTAGTAATCATGCTACACCCAAGTGCTGAGATTAAAGCCATGTGTCGCTACCTCCTCACTCTTTTTCTTTCTTTTAAGACAGAGTCTCACTATGTAGCCCTGATGGGACTGGAGCTTGCTGTGTACATACACCAGGCTAGCCTAGAACACAGAAAAATGTGCTTGCCTCTGTCTCTCAAGTACTGGGATTAAAGATGTGTGTCACCACACCGAGGGGGAAAAATTCATTTTAACGCTAAAACACAAAACACACTGCTACTTAATGGCGAACACATACGGTACAACTTGAGAGAAGACTAAAGGGGAGGGGCGTTGGGGAGATAACTCAGTCAACAGAACAATAGGGTGCTTTCAGAGTACAGGGACTGGAGTTCCATCCTCAGAACCCACATTAAAACACACACACACACATACACACAACACAACAAAAATAAAACAGCAGCTCTGAGCATGGTGGCACATGCTTGTAGTCTCTGGCTAGCCAGTCTAGCTGAATTGGCAAGCTTCAGTCTAATGAGACACCCTGTCCTGAGGGAAAAACACCTAAGGTTGTCCTCTGGCCTCTGTTTATACATGCACATAAACAAATAATGAGTGAAAGACAGGTGTAGGATAGTTCTCCTTTGAGGGCCTGGAGATGGTATGGGACTGGGAGAGAGATTGAAGGCAATGGTTGGTTGGTTGGTTGGTTCATTCCTTCCTTTCTTCATTTTAAGATAGGATCTCCTGTTGTTCAGGCTAGGTGTATAGCTGAGGGTGACATTTAGCATCTGATCCCTCTACCTTTAGTTCTCGTAATTTTGGGATTATCAAGGTGTTACCATGCTTGGCTTTTTATTTGTTTTGTTTTATTTTTCAAGATAGGGTTTCCTCTGTGTAGCCCTGGCTGTCCTGGAAATCACTGTGTAGACCAGGCTGGTCTCATACTCAGAGATCCTCCTGCCTCTGCCTCCTGAGTGCTGGAATTAAAGGTGTGTGCCACCACCTTTGTCTATGCCTAACTTTTATAGTTTTATGATAATCTTTTGAAACTTTAATAATAAAAATTTTTGTTGGGCATGGGGTGTAGACCTATAGTCTCAGCTACTTAGGAGGCTGAGGCAGGGATGACCGTATGAAACTAGGAGCTTGGGGCCACCCTAGGAGTACATAGTGAGATCCTATCACTTAAAATGAGATGGGTGGGGAACTGGCTCAGTGGTTAAGAGTGTGTGCTGCTTCTCCAAAGGACCTGAGTTCAGATCATCATGTACCCGGATGTTCAGGAGAGAAGACTGAAGTCTGAGCTGATGGAGAGGGGATGCTGCTTGAGGATCCCATAGTGACCCCTTCACCCTTTGTGTCTAATTTAGTGTCAGTGTTCAGACTTCCTTTTGTGTAAATCTCTCTCGGATTGTAATTGAACATTTCCACCTGTTTACAGCATTTAAAAGTTGCCAAACTTTAACCGGCAATGGTGGCCGGGGATGACTTTAATCCCCACAGAACCAGGTAGATCTTTGTGAGTTCAGTCCAGTCTGGTCTACATAGTGAGTTCCATGACAGCCCGGGGTATTTAGAGCAGTGGTTCTCAGCCTTCCTAATGCTTCAACCCCTAAATACAATTCCTCATATTGTAGTGACCCCAGAACATTAAATTATTTTTATTGCTAATTCAGAATTGTATTTTTGTTACTGTTATGAGTCATAATGTAAATATTTGTGTTTTCCAAGCCTCAGGTGTCCCTTGTGAAAGAATTGTTCAATCCCCAAAGGAGTTTGGCCCACAAGTTGAAAACTGCCTGTGTAGAGACCCTGCCTCAAAAATGAACAAAAAGTTGCAGAACTTTGCTTTCATGGTTAACATTTCATGGCTAGAATGAAGTTGTGAATTAAAGAGTTATGTTTAAGAAATTAAACTGTTTAGCCATGCGATGGTGGTGCACGCCTTTAATCCCAGGACTCAGAAGATAGAGGCAGGCAGATCTCTGTGGGTTCGAGGCCAGTTTGGTTCAAAAGAGCTAGTTCCAGGACAGGCTCCAAAGCTACAGAGAAACCCTGTCTCAAAAAACAAACAAACAAATGAAGTGGAAAACAAAAAGAAATTAAACTGTTTAAGAAGGAAGCTCATGCAAATCCTTATTCATTCTCTGAACTGGGATGTGTGTGAGGGTGTTTCTTCCAAACCATTTAGATCATCGGTTCTCAACCCATGGGTCTCAACTCCTTTGCCAAACCTCTATCTCCAAAAATATTTACATTACAATTTATAACAGTAGCAAAATTACAGTTTTGAAGTAGCAACAAAAATAATTTTGTGATTGGGGAATCACCAAAACATGAAGAACTCTGTTAAAGGGTCACAGCATTAGGGAGTTTGGGAACCACTGAATTATACCATAAATAAAATAGCAATAGAAAAAACAAAAGGTTTGACAACAAAGAAAAGCAGAAAACATTAACAACACCAAAATTTTAAAAAGCAACAAAACCAAATACTTAGAAAAATATTTCTCCCCAAATGTATTTTCTAAAATACATCTGTTAAAATGTGTGAGAACATGGGGTTATTCAGTTTGTAGATGAATAAAGATATACACACATGTGGAAAATGTTTAATTCTTTTACTAGTCAAAGAGCGGCACTCTAACACTGCTTTAAAAGATCTACTTTGTGTATATTGATTTGGGTGCCTGTGTGGAGGCTAGAAGACAGTGTTGTTGCCAGGTGTGTGGTGTACACCTTTGATCCTAGTAATTTGGGAGGTAGAGGCAGGCAGATCTCTGTGGATTTGAGGCCAGTCTGCTGGTCTACACAGTGAGTTCTAGTGAGCCATGAATGCATAGTAAGACCCTGTCTCGGGCAAGTTACATGGGTGCTGGGATCTGAACGCTGGTCCTCATGATCGCCTGGCTAACTTTGTTTTCGCTTCTGAGTCATCTGTTCAGTCCTAATAAGTATTATTTTTTATCTTTCAAATGATTCTTTTGACAAGATCACATGCACCCCGGGTAGTTGGAGTTTGCTATGTAATAGAGGATGACTTTGAACTTTATCATTTTGCTTCTTCCTCCCAAAGACTGGGATGACAACAGGTGTTGATCACTATACCTAGCTCTTAGGTCCCCTCCAGTTGGTAAAGGCTGACAAAGCAGATGCTTTTCTGTGCTTGCCTTTTGGAAAGCCACTTGGAGTATCTGTTAAGAGCCCAGGGTTACAAGGCAGTGGTGGTGCACACCTTTAATCCCAGCACTCGGGAGACACAGGCAGGAGGATCTCTGTGACTTTGAGGCCAGTCTGGTCTACAAGTGCTAGTTCTAGGACAGCTAGGACTGTTATATAGAGAAACTCAATCTCAAAAACAAAAAACAAAAAACAAACAAAAAGAGTTCAGATTTAGGGAATTGGTTCAGCTGGTAAAACACTTATGCAAGCCTAAAGGACAACAATCGGGATTTCCCAACACCCATGTAAATCTCAGGTAGGAAGATGACATGCCTGTAATCCCAATATGCAGGATCCAGAGACAGGATTCCTAAGGCAAGCTGGACAGCGAGATTAGTTGAATCAGTGAGACTCTGCCGACTATGGAGAGCAATTGGGAAAGATACTGTCAGCTTCTAGCCTCCATAGGTAAGTGCTACACACTCCTATAGGTGCCCCTTCACACATAGGAACATACATACACACATGCATGCATACCACACACACATGCCCTCTCAAAAAGTACTTTCATTTTTCTATTGAGCACTTATCTGACTTCCAGGAGATAGTTATGATTTTTTATTTTTATTTAAGTTATTAGAAAGGTTTTTGGTGTGTGTGTGTGTGTGTGTGTGTGTGTGTGTGTATGTGTGTTTACCGTGTAAGCACAGGCACCCTTGGAAGTCAGAAGAGGATGTCAGATCCCCTGGAGCTGTCCTGCAGGCAGTGACCTACGTGACGTGGGTTCTGGTATCTGAACTTAGGTACTCCTCATGAGCAGCATGAGCTCTCAACTGCTCAGCCGCCTCTCTAGCCTAGGTTATTTTTTTTAAAAAAACAATTGTAGTTGATTTGAGAAATGGGATGTTGGATGATTTCATTGTTGTGAGATCATAGTACACAAACTATGACACCTACAGTATCACTAGACAACGTCATCTTAGGAGACTACTGCTGTAATTGGATCCATTGATGGCCTAAATGTCATTATAGCCACAACTCTAACCCAAGATACATTAAAAATTCCAGCAAAAGCAGTTATTGCTGGGTTGTTTGTGATACTATAGAATTGAAAACAATTGAATAAACAAAAGAGGCAGCTTGGTTAAGGGATCATGAACTATTGCATAATTGATGTAAATTAGGTTTTTTACTAATGTTTGATGGCATAACAAAAGCTCACAGTATAAATCTGTACTATTGTATAATTCTAACGTATTACCAGTGATTCTCCCTGGGCTGGATGATTCGACTTTCCCCCTCTTGTAGTTTAATGGTTAGATTTTGGGGTTAAAAAATCCTCTCACCTTCGAAGTCAACTGTCAGTCTTGACCATCCCCAGTGGTTTTGTGGCATAGATCCTCCTGATTCATAAGTGATCACACTGGGTCTGCTGGCTAATCCAGACTTATCTCCCTACTTTAGGTCCAGTGGACAAGGAACCTTAAGCCCATTTCCAACTTGACTTCTTCCCCTTTGCCATGGAAGGTAATGTACTTGCAAGTTTGGTGAGCATTCTTTTGCCTCTTGTGCTGTCTGGCTAACCTTGGCAGGTGGTTTCTTTATCTATAACAGGCTTTCTCCTATCTCAGTACTTGGGTGTTTTGGGTGGACAGTTCTTGTTTGTCTTTTAGTCTGTCTGTCTTCCTCATTGTAGAACTCGCTGTTGTTCATCAGGAGTGGCTATTCCTTCCCCCCAACATTCGTTGCTTGTCCACTGGGGGTGAAGTCACCCCTAGATGAGTACTGATCTCTAAAGCAGCTGAAGTTCTTATCTTTTGGTACAGTCGTGAGGATCTGGTGACAGAACATAGCAAGGTCCTCTCCACTGTGTCTGTCTGTATTTTTTTTTTAAGGATTTAATTTGGTCTCTTGTATTGATACATAAAACATAAAGTTTGTGCATGTTTATGGGATGTGCTTATGTTCATGTGCACACAGGATATGAATCAGGGGAAACCTGCCTATTCTTAAACAGTTGTCATTTCTGTGGAAACATTCAAGCTCCGTTCTTCTAACTCTTTGCATGTATGTATGTAAAACTATTAAAAATAAACAGCGGTTTGGTAGGAGAGTCAATACTACAGAGGCAAAGGTATCTTTTTAAAAAACAGATTTATTTTATTTTTAAGTGTGTGTGTTTATGTGCTCATGTGTGTGAATGTGCCCATGGAGGCCAGAGGCATCAGATACCCAGGAGCTGGAGTTATAGGTGGCTGTAAGCCACACAGTGTGGGGACTGGAAACCAAAGTTGGATCCTCTGTTAGAGCAGTATATTCTCTTAACTCATCTCTCTAGTCCCAAAGTTACTTTTTAATGAAAACTCTAAAAAAACCTTTAAATTATTCAAATAGTAGTTTCCCTCATGTTATTAAAAATTAAAAATACAGATAGCATTAATATTTTTCTTCTGATCTTGCCTGTCTTGTGTCATTCCCTCCCCAGTGGCAACTCCTGAGAGGCAAATACCACAAGGGCAGGAACTGTATCTGTCTGTCTGTCTATCTATCTGTCTGTCGGTCTGTCTGTCTATCTATCTATCTATCTATCTATCTATCTATCTATCTATCTATCTATCTATCATCTGTCTGTCATCTGTCTGTCTGTCTGTCTGTCTATCTATCTGTCTGTCTATCTACAGGGTCTCACATTGTAGACCAGGCTGGCCTGGAACTCACAGAGATCTGAAAGGCAAGGACTTTATTGGTGAGGTCATCTTCTCATTTGGAGATGGAACCAAGTCTACAGAAATCACCCCATTCATGTTTGTTAATGATTGAGTTCATGTATGTTACCTCATTGTTTAAAAATGCTACATAAATCCCAGAAATTATTCGTATATTCCAATTCTTTAATGTAAGTTAGATGACCTCGCAGAGCTTTCAGTGGGTTAATGCTACTGCATGGTTGGAGGTTTGCAAACGTTTTTATACTCACACAGGGGCACACTGTGCTAGTTTGAATATAATTGATCCCCGTGAGCTCATAGGGAGCAGCACTATTAGGAGGTGTGGCTTTGTTGGAGGAAGCATGTGAGTGAGCTTTGAGGTCTCACAGATGCTCAAGTCACACCCAGTACCTTAGTTCACCTTCTGTTGCCTGCGGATCAAAGATGCAGGATTCTTGGCTCCTTCTCCAAAATTATGTCTGCCTGCGTGCCGCCATGTCCCACTGTGATGACAATGAACTGAACCTAATTAAATGTTTTTTCTTTTATTTATAAGAGTTGCCATGGTCCTATTTCTCAGAAAATTAGGCAACAACCTTCCTTAAGACCCAGTAATACCACTTTTGGGTATATATCCAAAGGATGCTCAGTTGTGTCACAAGTACATGTGCTCAACTATGTTCATAGCAGCATTGTTTGTCATAGCCAGAACCTGGAAACCACATAAGTGCCCCTCGACTGAAGAATGGATAAGGAAAATGTGGTACATTTACACAATAGAATATTACACAGCAGAAAAAAATAATGACATCTTAGATTTGCAGGCAAATGGATGGAGCTAGAAAACATCATTTTGAGTGAGATAACCCAGACACAGAAAGACAATTATCACATATACTCACTCTTAAGTGGTTTTTAAACATAAAGCAAAGAAAACCAACCCACAAATCACAATCCCAGAGATCTTAGACAACAATGAGGACCCTTAGAGAGACACACATAGATCTAATGTACGTGGGAAGTAGAAAAAGACAAGCTCTCCTGAGTAAATTGGGAGCATGGGGACTTTAGAGGAGGGTTGAAGGGAGGGGAGAGACAGGGAGGGGAGCAGAGAAAAATGTAATGCTCAATAAAAATCAATAATAATAAAAAGAGTTGCCATGGTCATGGTGTCTCTTCACAGCAATAGAAACCCTGACTAAGACACATACACACGTTTTTTTTTCAGTTTACTGTAGCTGAGATTTCCATATATACCACAATTTGCCTGATTTTGTTGCATGTCTTAGAATCTTTCCAGATCTCTATAAATAGAACAACTACATTCTTCTGCTGCTGTAAAGATGAGCCATAGTTTATTTAAGGGGTGCTGACCAGTGCCCCATCTCTCTTGACAGGACTGTCTGGTGCTCAGTGGAAAAAAAATCTCTTGCTGATGGAGCATGGTGCTATGCAAGCCAGAGAAGCCAGCTGATATTTTTGTTTTCACTAGCATGCCAATCTTTGAATCTTTTGGGTTTGACTGCGTCATAGTCTTGTCTGGAAATCTACCCTGAGCCTATTTTTAGCTGTTTGGCCAGGGGCTCAGCTTAGCTGCACAGACATGGTGTGCACAGGGTGGGTTGTTAGTCTGTAGGTGCAGCCTCCCCAGGCAGACCCAAATTTTAGGGTATGTCTGTTCCTTCTTGATGAATCTGTCTTGGGGCTTCGGAATCTTGAGGTTCTGAATCTTAAGGCAGGATTGAAGCTCTTTGGAGTCAGCTCCAGTTCCAGCAGATTCCTGAGTCCTTTTCTGGTCCTGCTGGGACCATGATAGTGGTTGGATATTAAAAGGGTGCTGCATCTTCCTCACCCTCTGTCCACTGTGCACACTGTCAGCTTTTTGCCTTCACACAAGCTGTTTCAGTTGATACAAATATTCTTCCCTTCCTCCTTGTTGCCTTTTACTTATTTTTATTTGTTTTCTTGAAACAGCATTTCTCTGTATAGCTCTGGCTATCTTGGAACTTGCTCTGTAGACCAAGTTGGCTTCAAACTCCCAAGTGCTCCAAATGCCTGCCTCTGCCTCCCAAATGCTGGGATTGGGTGTGCACCACCAATGCCCAGCTTCATTGCTGCCTTTTAAATCTCATCTTAAATGATCCCAGAAACTTCCCCTTTTCTCATATACACAATGGAACTTGTCACTTTCTTTTCTTAGTCCTCAGGGACTTTGCCTTTGATACCTGGTTGTCACAGGTAGAACTGATGCTCCTTGTTGGGTGGAACCTTTGACAGGTGGGACTCTTGGTACCCACTCTGGCTTTTGAGTATCTTGGAACGAGGGAATTCTGCAGTCTGAGGCTGCAGAATGGAGTGTAGGAACAAATAGAGCACTGAGAATCCCGGGGTCAGAGGATACCCAAAGGGCTGGGCTGTGAACACTTACCCAGTATGCACAGGCCTTGTAGTCAGCAGGAGAGCACACAGAGTTGGCTGTGCTGAGGGGTTTCCTTTTCAGCTTGGTTTCACATGAAGAAATGAGAGCCCAGTTGCAGAGATTTGAATTTGACCAGTGGAAGGCTTTCATTTCTAGAAAAAGACTAAAAGAAAATGGCAATCCAGATAATCACACACATCTACAAATTGCCACACCCTCCAGCACTCTCTCCATGTTGGGAGCTACTTAGACAAGCCCAGCAGTGGTCACTTTTCTAGGGGTATGGCTGTCTAGGGGGAGACTGAGAAGGAGGCAACAGTATGGGGGGATTGCTGCTACCTTGAACAGATGGCTCCAGCTGCAGTGTTTTGTTTGTTCGAGATGGGCGCTCACTATGTAGCTCTGTCTAGCCTGAACTCACTCTGTAGACCAGGCTGGTCTCAACCTCATAGAGATCGTCTGCCTCTGCCTCCTGAATGCTGAGATTAAAGTAAAGGCATGGCCACCACACCTGGCTGAACTCCTTTAAGCAGAAGAGGCCGCTGCTTTCTAGAGCCTATTAACTCTCACTTCAACACATTTATAAGAAGCATTTTATCTGGTTTCTTTATAAAAAAATTTAAATTGCATATGTTTATTTTCATTTGAATATACACAGATCAAAAGGTTGCATTTTATTAGTTATTTTATTAGAGACAGTGTGCAACACTGGTTTTTAATGGGGAAATGTATATCTTAACAGGATTGTGTCTTGATGATGACTTGAATAAAGTTATAACAACACCTTGTGTGGTGCCCAGAATGTGGGCCTAAGACTTGAAGCTGCAGGTAGCAAATGTTCTCAGAGAGACATGCCTCAGATGCTGCTGGCTGCTACCCCTTTCACATACCCCACAGACATGATGTTGTGAGACCCATGGGCCCAACACTGATGAGCTCAGCAGGCCATCCTTGGAGAACATGGGTGAATAGGTGTGGACAATGCTTTCAAAACTGATGAGATTCAGGAAAAGAAATTGTTGCAAGGCTATAAAGCTTTTTATAAAATATACAGAAAAGAAGGGCCAGTGAGATTGCTTAGTGGGTAAAAGCTCAGTTAGGTGGTTATGTGGAGAAGCCTTATGGTGGTTGGCATCTAACTGTATATTTTTCAACCGTACATGTAATACTTATAAAAATGGATCATTTACTATCCCAAAGCAAGAGTCAATGCTACAATTTGGGTGTGAAACATCTTCCTTAGGCTCACGTTTTGAATGCTTTGTTCCCAGCTGATAGGCTGGTCCTACTGATCTACTTCCTGCGTGTTTCACAGCCCCTAGAGTAGTCTGGTTCTTATCTTCTCTGTTTGGCCCGCTGTGCTGTGAGGGAACTCTGGAATGAGTTGCTCCATCATGCTA